GGCCCTCTGATATCATCAGCATATCTTAATGGTCTTTCACCTGTCTGACATTGCTTCACGTACCCTGCTAATCGTTCATTTAGGGCCACTGGTTCCCAGACTTCGTCTGGTGAGTCCTCTTCGGCCTCTAGCTCAATTTTGGCTAACTCAGTTTTGCTATGCGCCTCTAAGAGAGCCCGCTGGAGCTCGACCTCCCGCTTAACCCGGTACTCCTGGAGCTGAGCAATCCTTAAAGCTTCCTTAGCCACACTGCCTTTACGACTAGAAGCACAAAGTGACTTACGAGAACCGGCGCTTCATTGCTATTGTTTCCTCTGCAGCTTCAATCGTTTCCGCGTCCTTCGATCCTGTTTCCTTCACAATTGTTCCAAAGGTTGACATCTTTGCTTCAAACAAGACGACGTAAGATGTCGAGTACTGTAACGGTCGAACAGTATCCTCGAGTGACGCGTAATACCAGAACCTCCGGGTAGGCAAAACAAAGTCGGAGCTGGGTTTCTATGCGGTACTATTAGGGTAAGAGAAATTCACAATTTTTACAAACCTCGACAGTAGATATGCGTCCAAAACGAACAGTGTGATTGGGTTACAAAGTACAAAGCAAGAGAGCAAACGGGCTCCCACGTGCGGCAGTCACACGTGCAGAGTCAGATGGCCAAATGGGTGAAGTGGTAAGGACAAACAAACGTCAGTTCATATACACACACTAAACACAAAAGTGGGGCGGGGTTACAAATGGGGACAGAATAAACGTGGGGAATTTCATTGTCAACATAACGGATGATACACGTTGCAAAACTCATCCATTGTGACTGGATGATAATTGCAACTGTTTGACCTGGACTAGAAAAACAATTCCCGTCGATTAATGGTTATTTCCGCAACATCACCCGGGATGCAGTTCAACTATTGTCAATAATCTGTATGGGTTTGTGCAGAACGCTAGCGTATCCTTATCTTCCTCTTTTTGGTTGGTGTTTTGCTGCCGGTGGATGACATGTGTCGTTTCCTAGCGGATTCGGAATTCATCTGCATTAAAAAAACGACCCAACGAAGTAGGGTTCCATCTATGACTGACTTGGTTAAGTATTCCGCGGAGCTGGTTGCACTCAACGAAAATGGTTCTATCAGGAAGGTCAGATTCCTGAAAGCAACCGCTGAACACCCGAAATCTACTGGGGCCTTCAGCTCCGCTAGCTGCTGACCAAGCTGACAACACGCCCTCAGTATGCAGCGCGTCACAGTCTCGTATCAAAGCCAGACCGCGTGCGTCAGCATTGGACTAAGTTCAGAAAGCGTCCCTCCAATAAATAGCTTGAGTCCATCGTACTTTTGCACTCACACGAACTCATGCTCTCACAATCGCTTGTTAGGAATATAGCTGTTCCGTTCCCTTTTGTGAGTCCTTCTTCCGGCATTAAGCACTGGAGCGGGTCAGCAGTTAGATACAACAGATTGGCGAATCAGTAGATATAACAGATTCACTCCCTGTCGGTCAAAAACCCATCATCTGTATGGTGAAGCTGCTCTTTCGGGTGACACACAAATCGCTCCAGTACAACCACGTCCGTTTGTTAATTTCGTTTAGCTTGAGCTTGGTCGCAACTGGCGGTGCATCTCTATCCACCTAGAAGATACCGCTTTGGGCTGCTGTCCGTAGTCTAATCTTCAGATCAGATCAGAAGATCGACTTTAAATAGCCCAATAGTCAGGGTGGGTGCCATGGAGTCTCATTTTATTTCCGAATTGGGTAACCCGAGGAGAGACGAGCTAAGTGGTACCCGAGTATTTCCTAACCTGGAACCAGTTGTTTCGGTTTTTATCTACGATTACTCGAACCTTTTTGAGAGTCTACCTTAGAAGTCTAGTTTCTTTCTGTGGTAATTTGAATGTTTAGGAAAGCGAGTGTCATAATTCTCACGAGAGTTGCTCGTTCAACGTTGTTAGAAATTAAGCATGTGTGGCATTGTTACTTGTGTCTGCGCCCGTAGATGTGTTAATGGCATTCAACAGCTTGAAATCCCTTGTTGCTAGGCTACACTGCACGTCACCAATGTCAGTGTACCCATCTTTACCATCCTGAGTGTTTTCCGATCAAGCTGTCAACCAGATCATCTATGAGGTCTTCTGGTAGCTCTTCTCGTTCGATGTTAGAAGCCTGATCATGAGCACATATGCTTACAAGCGCATTTCCCCACTACGAAGATTGTATATACTGCATGGTTTGATAGGTTCGCTGGTTTTTGTGTTTGTAATATCTAACAACGACGTTTGTTTGCGAGTATGGGAAATGGCGCGTTGTACGAACGGAAAAGCCTCGTTTGGTATATCCTTATATCAGATTGTAACTTGCATTTCCGGGTCATCCAAAACCGTTAGAACGGTGTGCAGCCAACTGACTGTCAAAATAAGTCGTCAGCCTTTGCGAAAACTGGTTGTAGACTGGTCTTACCGGGGATCTTAACGCATAATAGAGCCATTTTTATGGACTGAAGTAGTATATTATGGGTTCCAGCTGGGGCGCTCACTGCCAACGCTATGGACTCTTTTGGAACTTTGCTAAGTTCGCGGAAATTATGCAGTACTGAAGCTGGTAACCTCTACGGAGGCCATTTTAACAACGCCTGGTGGTTATACAATTACCAATAGCTTAGTTCCGCTGTGATGCTCCTGGTTTATGACACTCGTGTATAACCTGACACCACATTCGGACAATTCTGAAACAGGCTTATCAGAAAGTGTTCAGTTGTAAGCTGCATATTCATTCTCACCATGTGTGCTCTCGACTTGCCTAAATATTAAGCTTGATAAGGATCTCCAGATAAGGTTAGGTAAAAATGCCATGTATTCGGTTTCTAAATCCACTTGCTTACAGAGCATCACTCTGACCTCGGTGTTCGGTTGTCCAATTCTCGGTACTTTGTTATTAAAGCTGTGTGGAAGTGAATGATAGGTTAACTGCCAAATCTAGACAGCCGATTTGATCCGATGATGACTGATCTCATTAGCTTATCATCATTCGGCGCCGAACCCTACGAAATTAGAAACATCAGTATGCGAATGGCAAGCCAGATAATCGGCAACGACTGGTTGTCACAACTTTAGTTAAACACTTGAACAGAATGTGTTGAAACGGAGGGCTCAGTGAAAGGATTCGGAGCCATTATACACCTTATCTCTATGTTAATCAGGAACTGAATGCTGGAATTTGGCGTGGTTCGCTAACATTCTCGGAGCATGGGCTTCTATACGAAAATTTTTTCATGAAACTAATTTTCAACTCAGTTGTTCACTAAGGTCGGTCACTGTGATAACGACACAATGCTTGAAAGCAGAATTTCAGCGCCTCAAGTTTTTTTGGTGAATCGGTCACCGCCACTGAAGAAACCGTCGTTTGACGGAAGTACCCGCAACCCCTCACAAACATAAAATCGGTTTGACATTAACAGCAATGGCATGTGTGTATGGGCCTCCGATGATGACGACTTGACCTCACCTCATCAAAGTAACCGAGAACAGGACAAGTGTTCCGGCAGGTGCGGTAAAAAACACCAAGAATGAGTCGGTTAGTTTACCTGCTAGTAGTTGGCAGAATACGAATGCTTCCGGTTGAAAAGTCATGCTCGTGCAGCCTTGAGTTTCAGCCGCAGCAACCATCATAACTTCTATGACGATTTTTGTCTTATTCAGCGGAGACTTACATGGCATGAGGCAACTGCTGTAACTTGACGTTTCATTTCAGCTTTTCTCAACGAGCTACCCGTAAATGTGCCTATTGAGCTGGCATATCTGCCCCATGTTATATATAAATAACACATACAAACCTGGGACCAAGCCATCCAAAATAGTCACTATATCGAACAATTAGCTTGTTCGATTTATGTGTATTAGGCTGCCGTGTTTTCACAGGTTGATCTGTTGGTCAATAAAAAAATGGGTCATCTTCAGACGTTTGCACTTGCTTTGTTCTGAGTTCGTGATATGAAGCGAACCATCGACCGATCCAAAGATACCTAATTGTTCGATTTTTGACGTTTATCAGATTCATTTTTCCGACAGGAAACACGTCTGGGCTAGTGAGCCATCATCTGTTTCCGGACGCTCCATTTGATATTCGGAACCCTACTTTCTTTTGGATGAGTTTATCTGACCATATCTCCACGGAAGAACGTTAGCCATAATAGATGTACCGCCCTAACAGACTCTGTCTAGCTCTGAGTGTCTTATTCCTAATATTATTCGTCATTCCGTGCGTGCATTTTTCGCGCCGTGCAGGTCAGCCTAACCAACGTTTTGTTCAGCAAGCGCCAACCGAAGGTCAAGCGCTATCGCTCTAGTTGGGCAACGCCACTTACCCGATTAGCAGCGGAGGCCAAAGCAAAAGAAGGAGGATACAGTTCTGAAGGACCGAAATATCAAAAGTTGTCCAAATCTTTCACAGTAAGTACCTCATGTTCTCGTTCTTCAAGTGACCGTTTGCGGGGCTGTTTTGCAGAACGACATTTGGATACCTCAGAAATTAGTTTCTCTTTCTGATCGTTCACCCTGTTTCTCAAGGCTTTGTCTGCTCAGTAAAACTCCATATTAATACAAAGCACTCACGAACAAGGATCACTTCGAACTAATTTAAGGGTTTCCGTGCTGGCGATTGTCGCAGATGTTCATTTTAAATTTGCTGAAAACAGCTCAGTATACCCAACAACAATGTGCAGTAGAACCTCCCAATAGCTAACATCCTCTACAATCTCGACCGTGAGCTACCACCTTGACGTGGTAGTCGGGTTTGAGTGATACAATGATCCTGCGGGCTACACTGGATGGAACTTCGTTCCACAAGGTGCAGCCATACCAGGAAGGCCAGAGGGAAGCGGTGAAACCAAGAACAGTGAGACCTCGTTCTTCGAGTAATCGTGCTCCGAGGCGGTCTGGGCGTATAGCCGTACTGTCCCCTTCCATAGGTGTCTGAAGGCAGTAAGGTGTTTTACCCAGGCCTCCAGCATGCCTATATTAATGGAAGCAGTGATGCTGCCTTCCCCCGAGAAATAACGGGTTAGAAAAGGTCGAACCCAAAAACCGCACACTCCCATCGCGCAAAGATTGACCCGTGAACAGCGACACATTATTCAGTACGGTTGAAAAAATTTTAAAAGCAGAGTCGAGTGCTGCTCAGAAGGCACCTGCTGTGCGCAGTCCCATGAGGAATGAGACAGTACTACCTCATTCCCTGCGCCCTCGGGTTAAGCGAACCAGGTGAGACTATTGAATCATTAGCTCTGGGAAGGGTGCCCAAAGAAAACTCTAGTGCCTGCTGCCTCGCGGGTCAGACTTTTGGGTCAGAGGCTATCGGTAGGGTCCTCGGACAAAACCCTACATCCTCTTACCGCCTTGTGGGTCAGACGTCTGAGTCAAAGGCGCAAGGTGGGGTACCTAAACTAAACCTCTTTCCTCAGCCTGTGCAACGAGGAAACATCATTCACCTGCTCAGTTCTTTGTCCACCGGTGTCTCTCCCCAACTCCTTTTCACCACACGAGCTGGATCATTTGACTGTCAGTTATCCGACGGATGGGCCTTATTCACTCCGCTGCCTATTAAGAATGGACAAGTGAGAGATCATTTCTACCTAGCATCTTTTAGCATCCATACTCTGTGCCAAATTGGCAAACAGGCAATGCCCGCTGGAACCCTATACTCCGTTAAAATTGGTTTATCCTGTGTCTCTCAAACATGCACACAACACTCCAGCGCGGTTATGCATCTCAAAACGCCAAGGATGGACTCAGCTGTTGCCCTATGTGTGTCCGGTGATCCAGAAACGATGACTCGTGGAATATATAGCCTGGAAGTTGCTCTCAGCCCAAGAGCTGAAAGAGCTTCACTGGATTTAATCCAAGTGCGCAGTCGTCTTTGCTCCTTCCGGTTATCGAGCTCAATAAAGCTCACTGCGTCGGCATATAAATGGTGCCTCTTTGGTGTGTCAGGTTATGTCCCAACGGATCACAGTTCTGATGCTGAGAAGGGTACTTTCTATCGAGAGCTATGCGGGCTCATTTATCGAACAAGAAGCACGGACTTTGTGATCCTTGCGGGGGTTATGAATGCCCAAGTTAGTCATCTCACCTCCTTGAAATCACATTTTCGGTCGATGCAGGCCTCAGAGGGAAACGAGAGCGACTCATCTGGTTGTGTACTGATCATGCATTCTTTCCGGTCCGTATGAACTTTCAGCACACGTTCGCATCACGTAACCTAGCGGCTACCAACTTCCGACAGCCGTTGACCCAGTTGGATCACATGGCAATCAGCCACCTGTGGAGAGCCACAATTGAAGACTGCCGTTCCTTCTTCGGCACACAACTTGCTTTCGATCACGCCATGTTGTATGCGCGTCTAACATTTTGTTTCCTCTCAGGCACTCGGAAGTCAGCAAAAAGCGTGCTAATTCACCTTCTTTGAAGAACTATCATGGCTCAACAGTATCGATCTGAGCTAGCTCAACAACTCTCGACAGTAAACCAGTACGGCACTGGTAGCGAGCACGTGGATGAAGCATGGCTACGCTTGCGGCTTTCACTGCGGTAGTCAAATGACCGCTGGATATCGTCCTTCGATTTTAGGAAATCCCCAACAGCGGGCAACTAGTTTGACATCGCACGCGGATCTTTTAAACATCAACTAATGAGGAACCTAAGGAAAGACCGAGAGCTCTTGTGGATATTGAAAGCCCCGGAGCCAATGTACAACCTCTGTTCAGATCTGACTGAGAGCTAGAGTATTCCATTGTGTTTTGAAACAAAAAACAAACGACCAATTTGATCCGTATGGGTGACTGGTGGATCACACCCCACACAACTTATCTCAAAGCAGCATTCAAAGTTTATGTCACAGGCAGAGTGTTTACGATGAAGTTACGCTAAAAAGTGTATTTCCCCAATTTCTGCATTTTCCGACACAAAGCTGGAATCACTCCCGCGTTACGTAGAGGGTTCCATTTTTCAAAACATGCTGTGTATGTTTTTCGAAAAAGTTTGGTAACAGTCGTTAACAATCTACCGATTGTTACCAAACTTTTCCGAAATCGGTTCCAAGCGTTTTTCACCTGCATCTGTTTGCGAGATGCACGAAAATCAGCTACCTCATCTGATACCAGTTTCAAGTTGTAGCTTGTCAGAAATGTTAAGCTTTTGTTCGGACATGCATTGACTGGGTATAAGGCATATTCCGAGCATCCCTACACCACAATTTGTTCACTTCAATATGTGGGGTGTGCTCCTCTTGGTCATTCAGCTGACGAGCGAATCAGAAGCTCAATGCGGATAGTTGCTGAATTTTTCAGGAATCGCGTTAGTTGTGGCTTTGCCTCGTTCTGTTCATTCACTTGTCTAAACTTGCACGCCGATTACGTGTGTGATGTCATTCGGGGCAGGTGTCGGTTACCAGCCTTAGTAGCCCGAGTAATCACCCGTTATTTTCACTTCTCAACCGACTCTCACTGTAAGCCGGTGAACGATGGGCTGGATCGTGTATGCAAACATCACACAAGTCCTAGTCAATAATTCCTGTGAGAAATTCGGTTGCCTGCTGTTCGCGGCTAAATACGGCCATTGACACATTCACCTTTTCAGACGTGCTTTGCTTGATGGATGACAATTTTTGGCAATGCCAGCTAATCCTATCGGTATAGTCGAGGTCTAGGGACAGTAGGGTTCTTGCTGCGCCCATCAGTGTGTTACAAAGTTGAGAAACACGGATAAATAGTGGGTACCACTCTTGCAGTGATCAACATACATATCCGAAAAACCTAATCATTAAGAAATTGAGTCAATTCACATGCATATGGCTTGGGTTTGAGCAGTACTCCTGTTCTAAGGCGATCACCCGTAATTCGTTCTAGTTGGGGTAGGCCCGGTTCTGGCGGTTACTCAGGGCAGCAGGAACTACTTTCCAATCCAATCACGACTTTATGGCCTTGCAAAAATCCACAAACCAGATGTCCCGGTGAGGCCGACAGTAGACGGAATAGGTTCCCCACCACATGAACTGGCCAGATTCTTGGCCGGCATTTTAAAGCCCCTCACCGGGATATCTAGTACTTACATTAAGAATTCATATGACTTCGCCAACAAAGTAGCGGGTGTCACTGTTGAACCAGATGGCATCCTTGTAAGTTTCCATGTGAATTCGTTATATACAAATGTGCCGAAAGGGGATTCTTTAGAAATATCCAAGCGACTACTATTAGCGGACACCACCTTTTCAGGACGGATGCAGCTTACGGTTGATGAAATAGTGGAAGGTATAAAAGCATGTCTGAATCTCACCCACTTCGTTTTTGACTAAGTGGTTTATACTCGAGAACAAGGTCTAGCAATGAGATCTCCAATATCCCCGGTTTTGGCAAATATATTTATGGATGAATTTGAACAAAGAGCTTTAGCCGGATATGTAGATGACACTTTCGTCGTTACGAAACGAGACAAGGTTAGTAAGTTTTACAACTATCTGAATGAACTGAATCCACAGATCAAATTTAGTATGGAGATAGAGTTAACCTCGGGTACCCTGGCCTTTTTAGACTGAATGACAAATAAGGTCGGGGGAAACTAAAGCCCACAGTGTACCGACACTGGGGCAGTTTCGAACTACTCGTCTGCCCATCCGAAATCGGTATTCGCCAGTATTGCGTCATCAATATTTAGGCGTGTAAGGGCCCTATACACAGAAGATGCTGATCGGACAGCGGTCCAAATTGAACTAAAGAGCAAACTTCGGGGTATTGGATATCCAACTAGCTTGATTAGGCGTCAGTTGCGAAGGGTATTGGTACCCGTACCGGAACCCAATAGGGAATGGATCGGGACCGTTGTTATTCTATATAAACCAGGGTCATCGGAGGTCATTTGAAGAATCCTAACCACGGCTAACATAAGAGTAGCTTTCAAGAGGGGGAACACTCTACGCTCTGCACTGGTGCAGTTGAAGAATCGCCTCCCGGCCAACCGAACCAAGGACTGTGTCCACAAAGTTAAGTGTAGCGACTGCACCAAGGTCTATATAGGGCAGACGGCCAGGGAACTACACATCAGAATCGGAGAGCGTGGTAGAAAAATAAACAGGCCGCCGAAAAACGCAGCTGAATACCAAGCGTTACTGAGGGACGCAGCAATCGCGGAACACGCACTGGATACGGGACACAAAATAGACTTAGAAAATGTTGAGGTTTTGACGTGAGGACTACGGTCCACGTCACACAGACTGATAGCCGAGGCGGTAGAAATCACCGAACATCCCAGTGTCAACAGAATAGAAGTGGAACTGGCAAGCGTGTGGAGAACGGTCTTGGGTAAATCGAACTGATACGTGCTGGTGTGTGATTATCAGAGGAAAGAGTAGTCATCATCTGGATTCCACTTAACCTCACTCACCTCCCTTCCCCCGAACTAAATTGTTGCAACATTCACATGCCCACGAAGATCCGGAAAAATCTACCAGTGGCACCCAAGGTGAATCATCAAGTGAAGTACCCTGAAGTGGAAGATTAAGAAACAAAAAGCGATGGGAACTAATTTGAAACTCATCCAACCTATCGATTCAAGATTTTGGCAACCACACTAGCCGACAAGAGGCGTTAATTGACACTCAACACTGATCTAGTTTGATAATCTGAAGAGAACGTACCGATTGGTTCCCCGTCTATCTTATAACCTGGCCAATTTTCTGACCTGTTCACTTGGCCTGAGGAAGCTTTTGTGTCAAAAGCGAAACGTTGCCCAAATAAAAACTACCGATTGTTTACGAAACCTTTCTGAGACGACTACTTCTCAATCGGTTCCAAACTTCTACCAGTTGATTGAAAAGGAATTACTTTTCTCTCCCATAAAACCGTTCAAGTATAACGTATTATCCATTTATGGTCATAGATTTATGTTGTGTTTCGCATGCGACAGTTTGCTATTCTGGTCCTTTATTCGTCTCGAAATCGAAATGCTTCATTATCTACCTGGGATAATGAGCGCTCTTTCGCGCCCGTTGACTAACCAATGCACCAAGTTTTTATGTAAGACGCAATTTCGTCCTCAGAATTACCGCTTTTTCTTGTTTTTGAACTCGATTGTGTTTTGTACAAAACTCATGGCTGTCTGTCAATTTCAGTAGCATATTACTATCACGTTGCGAATGGAACTAACACAAAATGTCGTATTGTCAAGGAATTTCGGTTGGTTCTACACATCCATTCATCGGTATTCGACTTCTTTCTAATCCTGTTTCAGACGACATCGTCGTTACGTTCTCCAACGGTAGATCGAGACTCAACGACAAGTGGACGGTGCAAGCGGTTGCGACAACGATCTGGACGATCAGAAACTACGAATGCGTCGGGTACCAAAAAGCAGCGATTACTTAAGTCTCCTCTTCACAATGTGCTTTCGCCGTTAAAATCCAATGATTATGAGAGTGACGTGGCAAGTGAGTCCGGACGAATGTATCTGTTGCAAAACCCTCGCTTCTTATCACTCTTCATGGTCAAACTCAATGTGCTTTCGCCGTTAAAATCCAATGAGTATGAGAGTGACGTAGCAAGTGAGTCCGGACGAGTGTATCTGTTGCAAAGCCCTCGCTTCCTATCACTCTTCACGGTCAAACCTTTTGTTATTGATAACAGTATCATCGTTTCAGCTAGGGTTAGTAAACAATCTGGGAATTTACGGCTGGGAAGCTTTTCGCTTTTGACCCAAAAGCTTCATCAAGCTAAAGTGAATAAGCTACCAGGTTGATCGGGTTTCAAGGCAGCCAAGGGAACCGATCCGTGAGATTTCTTATAACTGGCAGACTTGATCAGTGCTGGGTGTCCGTCTGAAGTTCGGTAGATTGGTTAGAGGTATTGTCATATTGAATCCAGATTTTCCGGCCTTGCTTTTCCGGTCTGGGGTAACTTAATGGAATATTCCTCTTAGGCGTCGATGGATGCCGAGACAATTGAAGTGGAGTTTGGGGTGGTGGATCTTACTCTGCATGAATTTTGTACTTTTAGGCCCAGGTCATTTCGCTGATAACTGCACACCGCCTCGTGTCATCTCGGCTGATCTAGAACGGCTCTCCACACGCTTGCCAGTTCTATGCCCTCTGTCCTATTCACACTGTTATGCTTGGCGATTTTCACCGCCCGGGCCACAGTCACTGTGGTATGGTCTTAGAATCTCTCCATTTTCCAAATCTGACTTGTACCCAGTGACTAGTGCATACCCTGCCATTGCCGAATCTTGACTATCGCCTGATATTCATCTATATTTCCCGATGGTCTGTTAATGCATTGCTCATGTTTCCCGATTCTAGTGTGCAACCTCCTGGCTGTCTGACCCATATAAACCTTCGTACAGTCATTACGCTTTTTATTTTGAATACACAGTTCCTAGCCCTATCAACCGGAATAGCAGTAGCAGTTGCATTTTTCACCGGTTGGAATGCAGTTCTGATCAAGAGTGCGTTCGTTTCCATTTCAAGTCCCAACAGTTTGGTACACTTTTATTCACGTTCACGTCCCCCAAGCTTCAAATATTTTCTAAGTCACGATAGACTATTATCGTATCAACTTTGCGAAGGTTCAAACTTCCTTACTGTCATGTGTAGACGAATCATTTCTAGCAAGTCAATGTCGGTACTTCGCAAATTAGTAATTATGGTGGTCCTTTTTGTGCGGAGCAAAATGTTTGATCTCTCTTTCCCGTGGGTCAAGTAATAGTCATGAGCGATGTGCTGTCTTACAGAGCTTTACCTTGTCGATATGCCGATGGAATTTGGAGGACCGAGCTCCCTTCCGAATCAAGAGAGTATATATTCAGTGGCGCTAGCGCGCTGACTGTTATTATGCTGTGGATGGTCAGACGGTACACAATGAAGGTGTCGGCTCAAATACAGCGTTGTCATCAAGTTTGTGAATTAAACATGTATAAACTTCAAATGATGACGGAATTGATGCATGTAGCTGCCTCCTGAGTCTTCTTGGAATGACACTTTTTTATGTAGAATACTAAAAGTGAGCTTTTTTGTGGTTGGGCACTGGTTCCCAAAAGATGTCTGATCCAATGGGAATTTATTTAAGTGGTGCAACTGAGGATTAGTTGAAGAGGCTGTACCTTACTGTGGTGTAACGGTTTGCGCACCTCAGCGATACACTGAGCTATACTGGAGTGTCTCCGTGACACTCATATAGTCTCTCATACCAGGTTGGTCAATGGTTAGAGGTCTGACCAACACAGTCTCCTGGTCCTCCAGGTTGGGGGTTGGAACATGTAGCGGCTTGTTCTGTAGAACTGGTAATGCATTTGCATTTCCCCGCCAAACACCGCTGCCTTGCGGTTAGGCTTTTGAGCGAAAGGCTTTGGTTGAGGACTCTAATCGTCCCCCTGTTTAGGTCTGGGCGCTCTGGCAGTATCCCAGCCCTCGTACAACCATGACATTCACGACTAACAATACGGCAGTGAAGCATCGGCGTTGTCATGCTGTCGATGATGATGATGATGAAGGATTAGTAGTCCCACGACCCAAGTAACCCACGCCAAATACGGTCTAACAGTTCTAACATTGCTAAAGAATAAGTTGAAGATTATTCACGCCTTTGAATTCATTTCAGGCTTGCTCATGCTCAAGTCAACTGAATGTTTCGAATGTAGACAAAGAATTCTGATAACTCACTACCTCTTCCCGTTTTTGGGGTTCATCAGGTTGGCCTGGTCTCCGAATCCCCATCACTTTGTTGTTGTACCTAACAATAAGTTGTTGACTTACGGAAATACGTACTTATTGGCAATTCAAGTTAGTACTAACGGAAGACTAAACTGGAGTTCAATGAATGTCATTTTTATATTACTCACTGTTCCAAATACCGCTCCAACCCGGATACGAGGCGGTCTTTGTTCAGCATATTCTGTCGAAGAATATTCGAAACGAAGGATCCGATCTGGTGGCTGAATTCTCTTCAAAACGAACCTATTGCATGAGAGGATGATTTCGTTTGTTTGTTGGATGTTCTCTGCAGAGGGATGTTGCTGTAAATTTGTCCCCAGTTTTTTCGTGTTTATGGAGATAGGTCTTATAGGGATGAATTCCTGTCAAAATTTCGTAGTCAACACAACAGATACAAATTTCTCATGCTGTGTGACAGGCACCCTGGTGTTTCATCTAACTGAAATCAGTTATCTTGACAACGAATGCCCAGTTATTTGTTTAGGACGCAGGTCACCATGATATCTGTGATATCCATTCATACCGGCTTTCACAACAGTCGCCAAACGTTGAATTCTGACGCAGAGAACGAATACGCCTGTGTACAATACGGGCTGTGGCATCTAGGAATAATGCAATGTATGGACAATGCAACCAGCTGGCATCATAGTGTTCTCTACAGACATCCGCTATCCTACACTCTTGCAAGTACTGGAACTCTATATGGAGCCTATTCAATTGATTTTTTTGCCCTTATCTACGAGAATGTTCATTTACATATCCCTTCTTGTTATCCATCTTCTCTACACAGCACCACCAATCCAACCGATTTCTCGGACATCTGTGGATTCGTCTACAACAACTGCCACCCGCCCGATCAATGACACATCGATGCTGATTCATCGTAGATCGCTGAGTCGTTGTTTGGGAATTCCTGTCCCCAGTGCTCGACTTTTCTGTGGTTGGAAAATTATGATTACTGGTAGAGTAACAGTCTTGAACGCGCCTGGTAAGCGGGGCGGCTGACAATTTGTTCTCTCATCATTGTTTTGTTTCTGGTATTTTATAACGACCTTCTGGTTCCGGTACTGTGAATCAGTACTCCTTTGAAAGCCTCCAGGAATGTTACTATTTCCAAGACGTTAGAGGAACGCCAGTCGCAAGCCAACCTCTACGTCACTAACATCCGTTCGTTGTAACTGTCCTGTAGCTTCCGAAA